ACATCAAAACCAAACCTTTACTTTGACCCGAAACTTAAGTTTTTTCCTACTCTTTATACTGCCGGCAAACTGGAAAGTCAGTTATTGGCCCAGTTCTACTTACAACCAGCCCAGCTTCTGCCCACGCCACTCGGCGCATCCCAGCTTAGTCATCACAGGAGCAGTGACAATACCACAATCTAATTAGAGGCACTTCCACGTGCTTGTGTCGTGGGATGGAAACGTGGAGCATTTGGCTATCTGAAACCGCCCTGCCCTGCCTGTGGCAAGATGGGCTAGAGGTGGCGGGGTGACGGCCATCCTGTCTTCCCTGCCCCCCAATGCAGGGGAGAGCACACAGGCTTCCTCGTAGCAGTGCCTGCGCCCAGACCACATCACATCACCCCGGGAGCTGTGTTTCAGCTGCTACTACCTTTACACTATGGCATCCTGCTCCATGCGGAACCACTACGTCGCTTAACCCATCGGCCCCATAGAGGCAGCCACACCTGCTGGAAGTCAGTCCAGTTGCAACGGGTCTTGGGAAGGGGGGGGAGGAGGAGTCGTCCCTCTTCTCCACCCCGGCCAGCCCCTATTGAACCACAAGGAAGCCCGTTCCTGGCACTCACCTCCGCCTCCTCCCCACAGGACTCAGTGCTCTGTTCCTCTAGGCTCCGGCAGCCGGAGAGGGCTTGGCTGTGCCCCTCTGCAGCCCCCACTTTTCCACTCAGCTCCTGCGAGCCGTAGGAGGCCAACAGCTCCAGTTCCATCAGGCTCAGGCTCTTCCGGCCGAGTGGCTTGGGAGAACGGCTGGGCGCGTGGAGCTTTCGGGAGCGCTGCATCACCTGGGCCAGCTTCTTGCTGATCGACAGGTTCCGGAGGTAGGCCCGTTCCCGGAGAGGGTCCGGCTCCTCTGGCCCCTCTGCTTCGGGGCAGCCCTCCTCTGGGTCGCTGGCAGCAGAGTCTGCGGTGGAGGGCTGGAAGCCATCAAGACAGTCCAGAGAGAAGCTGCTCTCTGAGCCCAGTGGAGTGGAGGGTGAGTTCTCATTGCCAGCCATCTCCACCCCGGAGTCCTCCGACTCCGACTTGAGGAGCCGCCCGCTCTTCGGGAAGAGGCCCAGCTGGTGGGGGAGGCTAGGCTCCGTCGGCGACCCAGCCGGGCCCCACAGGCCCAGCTCGCTGCTCATTCTGCTGCCCCGCTGTGGCTCGGGAGCGGGATCCGTGCTCTCTCCAGAGGCTTCCTGCAGCTTGCGGTAGATGCTGGCTGAGGTTAGCACCACACAGCTCTCCCAGGGCTTCCGTGCACCATCTGCGAGGCAAGAGAGATGCACTGTCAGAGAGGCTGGCTCCATCCCTCCTCCAGAGCACCGCAGCCCTGTCTCCTTACCTGTGGCTATTCGAATATGATACCTGCCCAGCCGGCAAGCCCTCTCCCTGACTCCAACCTTCTTCCCTGCCCATCCCTTATTGCTCCATGCACATTCCAAGGAGAACAAGCAGCTCCTGGTGATTCAGGCGGGCGGGGAGTTTCAGGGAGAAACGCAGCAGAGAGCGGGGCGGGGTGGGCTGGGGGGGGAAAAGTTCACCATGGAAGTTTTTGCACAGGGTAAAGACAAGCACATGCATCTCTGTAGTCCTTGGGACATCAAGGGCCAGCCACTGCAGTCCCCTGCCCCCCTCCTTTTACAAGGTGTGTGTCAATCTAGCCCTCACTGAAAGCATCATTCTACTCAGAACCAGTCGGCCAGCTGTGTGCAAGCCTCCCCCGCCCCACGCTGCTAATCCTGACCCGCAGCTTTGCCAGTGCCTCAGTCCTGGCCCACAGCTCCCCAGCTATTCCAGCCCAGCACACTCCCACAGCTCTGCCCCTGCTCTTCCAGCCCAGCGTTTCCCACCTGGCTTTACTGAGACACCTCATCTCTCAGCTCTGGGCTCCCTGTTCCAGCTCTGCTGATGCACCCCTGATACCCCGACAGCCCCCCACTGTTAGTCCATTTCTGGGCCTCCCACACAGCTCTGCCGATGCACTTCCACGCAGCACCTCCTGTCCCAGCCCTCTCCTGAATAACTTTGGGCTGCTGGATATAGAGAAACACCCCAGGGAGATGAGGAAGACACCCACCCTCCTGACCCCTCATTGAATCCTCCACCCCACCCCCAAGCTGTGGCTCAGCTAAGCTGTTTAAGGGACAAAAATCCACCTCCACCATCACCCCAGCACTTCCCATGAACAGCTTGGGCGCAGTCCGGAGCATTACTGTCCTACTGCATCGCCTCAGGGCTAGAGCAGCCCACCATTATCCAGAGCCAGCTCCTCTGCTTCCCCTTTGGACTCACACCGCTTGGACCAAGGGTAGAGTCCTCCACCCCTTGCTCTCAGCTTTAGGGTCTGCTCCTACAATAAAGTCCACTGTGAAGACACAAGGCTCCCCCTCCTCCATCCCCCACCCGTCCCTGGGGTTTCCAGCCTCCCACTCCCCACCTCCTCCAAGCCAGAGCACAACCCTCCATGAAGCTCTGGGAGGCGTGTGCATTAGGGGTAGAGGACACAGCAACTGTCTACAGATACCTGGGGGAGATGACCTGGAGGCACAAGAGTTATCAGGGAACGCTTTCCCCAACAGAGCCACCTGGCTGCGGGACCCTCTCCGAGAGGGATGGGAGCTGCTGGTGCTTGGGACATTTGTGACTAGGGTGACCAGACGTCTCGATATTATCAGGACAGTCCCGATTTTAGGGGACTTGTCCCACATCCCGACCTTACATTGGTCGGGATGTCTGGTCACCCTATATGAAGGGGACCGCAGCAAGCCGGCGCCACCGGCGCCACTCACCTTTCCTCCCTGGGCAGTGCGCAGCTGAGCTCCCGGCGCGGCAGCGCCAGCCCACGGGGCCCCCCCGCCGGGCCGGTAGGAGCCTGCAGAGCGCAGCCCTGCCCCAGGCACAGAGAGAGTTAGCAGGAGGTCTCGTTCTGCTGCGTGCTGCAGGGGGGTGGGGCTTGTAGACTGCGGCAGCAGGCAGCCCCCCTCCCCTCGACCCTAGGAAGGGGCCAGAGGGACTGGGAGGGACCTGCCTGCTGGATACTTCCTGGGAGCCGCTCCAGGTAAGCACTGCTGGGCTCACCTGGCCCCCTGGCAGGTCCCTCTGGGGGGGCTCCCCTCAGCCCCACTGCCCTCAGCCTCCCCCGCAGTCCCCCCTGTGCCCCCCACCCTCAATCCACTGCCCTCAGCCCCCCGACCCTGTTCCCTCTGCCTCCCCCACAGTCCCTCCCC